AATATATGAATAAGCAAGACTTATAAGCACTATTGTTAATTCTGTGTTTATCTCAAATTTGTATGTACTGTAAAATATTTTTATGTAATACGAATAACCCTTGCAACATATGGAATATAGTATCTTGAAGTTTGAATTTGAAATTGAAACTGACTTTCTCTCTCTCTCTTTCTCTATTCCTCTCTTTATTCCGCTATCTTTCTTCTTCCTCTCTCTCTCTCTCTCTCTCTATCTATCTATCTATCTCTCATACAGAAACATCTCTTCCTCTCCCTCCCTCCGCCTGCCTAATATTCTCTCTTTTCTTTCTCTCTCTCTCTAGTGTCTCTCCCTCTTTCTCCACCGCCCTCCTCCCCCTCCTCCTCTTCCTCCTTCTCTCTCCCTTTCTTCATTCTTCACTCTCCCAAATACAAAGAACACACTTGGCGTAATCGTACGAAGATTCCCACGTCGCCGCTCTAATTGGTCCCGAGTTCGCAGCCTCCGCGGCCCTCGCTCCCCATCAGCTGATTGTTGGCATCTTCGCGAACGGCCGAAAGGGGTCTCCTCCGCGCGCCGTCTTCGTCTCCTCTTCTTGATTCTGTTTCGTCTCGAGGGATGCAGTCGGCAAGTGGCGAGGGGCAAGGGAGAAATGTTATGGGGAGAAAAAGAGGTGGATGTAAAGTGTTGAGGAAATCTCAGTGTCCGAAGAATGATCGCATTGAGAGATAATCCGAATGTGAATCCAAACAGAGAGTAGTCACATTTATTTTCTTCTTTTTTTCTTTGTTGTTTATCCTCTTCAAGGGAAACAGGAAGGAGAAAGAAAACGGGTGTCGTCGGCGCGGAGTCCCGTTCCGAGATCCTCCGATTCCGTGCCTGAATGGGCCAATTACGTCGCCTTGATCCGAAGCACGAAACGCCTTGTCACGTAACAGCTCTTCCGTCACTCCTCCCGTCACACTGCGCGTTACGCCACCCGCGCCGCCGGCCGCAGGGAGCCAGGCGGCGATTGCGCGGCGATCGAAAAGGAATCGCTACGTGCAACTTCTGTCGCGGGCGAAGCGTCCCCGGGGCTGCGCTTCGGCGTCGCCACCAGCTGTCGAAGAATGTGTGTGCATATGTATATATATAGAGAGAGATTGATAGACTGACTGGTAAATAGACAGATGAACATTTGCACACATACATACATACATGTACGCTACACACCACACACCACACACACACACACACAAACACACACACACACACACACACACACACACACACACACACACACACACACACACACACACACACACACACACACACACACACACACACACACACACACATATATATATATATATATATATATATATATATATATATATATATATTATTATTATTTATTTATTTATATATATACATATGTATGTATGTGCATATATAATAGATAAGTATATATATGTATATGTATATATATATATTATATATATATATATATATGTATGTGTGTGTGTGTGTGTGTGTGTGTGTGTGTGTGTGTGTGTGTGTGTGTACATATATATACATTCATATATGTATATAAATATACATATATGTGTGTGTGTGTGTGTGTGTGTGTGTGTGTGTGTAAAGAGAGAGAGACAGAGTGATGCCTTTGTAGAAATTAAATTTATGTAACGTTCCTTTTACATTTCATATACAAACGTTTTACAAAACCATATCTGTCCGCCCGTTGGCTCAGTAAACACATTATTCCTGCGTAATAAATGGAAGTAGATCGCGAACAGCAAACCGGAAGCAGGCGCCGCCCTACGCAACGCCCCTGGAAGCCACGATGACAAACAAGCTTCAAAAGCACATCTCACTGCGGACTCCACTTCCCCGGGAGCTTTCTGGCACAAAGGAGGATTTCCCAGCCGGTGACAGTCGCGCCTCCCCGCCCGCCGGTCTTTCCTCGTTTATGGTTCCTTAGGGGCTAATGGTCGAGATTTTCTCTTGCGTGCGATAATTGCGAAGGGAAAGAGTAGACTTTTCACAATGAGGAAAACAAAACAATTCGTAGCCTAATAGGCATGTTGCTAACATGGATCAACATGCTGGATTGTTTTGGGATGACAATAATAAGTTCTATCCCTTAATCGTTTCATCACATTTTCTTTATCATAATTACTAAAATAATAGAATGAAAAAAAAACGTTTCTCGTCGCCACTCCAGGCAAAGTCACACAGACCAGCAATTACAGCTCCCCATAAATCGAGACATTTGCAAAGGTTACGAAGGAGGCAGCACCCCCCCCCCCCCCCGCCCGTTGCCCAATAGGCCTCCGGTGTGAAACGACCACTCATGGCCACGCGCGACGGCTGTTAGCGGCCTACTTATCGGCCGATTGTTTGCCGATCGTGTCGTAATGGAAAGCTGTCGCGCGCCGACCTGAGGGAAAGGCTTTGTTGCTATGTGCCAAGATAGTGGTGATTCGATAGCAGGTATCTTATCTTTCCTTCAAAAAAACAGGTGTGGATACAGATAAAGGGAAACTGTACGTGGAAATATGTATGCATATATATACACATATATGCACACACATGACAACTCATACACACACTCACACACACACGCAAACATATAAGTATATATATATATATATATATATATATATATATATATATATATATATATATATATATATATATATATATATATATATTCTGTATGTGTGTGTGTGTGTGTGTGTGTGTATGTGTGTGTGTGTCTGTGTGTGTGTGTGTATATTATATATATATATATATATATATATATATATATATATATATATATATATATATATAATATACATACATACTTATATATACGCATTCAAATCCCGTTGTTGTTTAGCACACACAAAAAAAAAAAAAATCCCCCCTCTCTCTCTCTACATATACACATTATGTGTATGTGTGTACATGTAATTTGACTGGTCACAGGAGCCTGTCACATCAAGCCCTGAATCAGAGAGACAGTGGTAGTACAACAAAAGATTCGAGACACTTTCGGTTTCGTTTGCTCTCCACCACACCCCTGGCGGGAATTGTCTTAAACTTGCCCAGTCCGTTTCCTTTACAGTGTGCGACGCCTTTAGTATCTTACCCACCAGTATTCTTTCCAGTGATCTGCGCTGACTTGTTATAGATTCCCAACACTGCTAAGCCGCACGTTAGAAACAAGAAGCAAACACAGATCATGGATTATCGCTTGTTTGGCATAGAATTATGTTATTCCGTTGACCCGAAAGTTTTCCAACCTTCAAAAGTCTCTAAAGGTGCTGTCACAATAGCACTCTTTCCGTCAATTTTTTGACAATTTTATTTAACATAAATACAAACATTCTCGAATATGGCTCTTGATTTGACTTTGCTTGGCTGAAAAAGACGGAAAGGTTTTCAGGCGGAAACGATCATTATAGTCTTACTGGAAAATCGACAATTCGCTCAAAAATGGACAAAATTTCAGAAAATTGTCAAAAAATTGACGGAAAAAGTGGTAGTGTGACAGCACCTTTAATCGCTTCTCGATTCTTGTTGACTTAGTCTTATCATTTATACTAGATACAGAGTGAAGAAAATATCAAGGGAATTTGTTCGAGATAAACCTTTTACAATGAATACTTTGACTTTTGCTTTATTGAAATGTTCACCCTTTTGTCTTTTTGTTTAAGTCTTTGTATTTGTCTAAGTTCCTCGCCGAATGTTGGTATTCAGATAATCTCATTGAAATGCAAATGATCTAATCGCTTTTATCAATAATTTTTTCTTTTTCACTTCCACTTTTTTATTTTTTCAATATAGAGAAATAGATAATAGTTGACATGAAGTGGTATCTCCCTTATCTAGCGAGATACCGTTGTTATCAGTATGCAATCTGATAAGAGATGGATGGATTTTATATTTTTTTGTAATTTTAATTTGTTTGTTTGTTTGTTTGTCATCAAGAATTACAAACTGCTATTGTTTCAAGCGATGCGAGTCGTTCTCCACCATCGAATTCCAAGCAAACATATAATATCCATGAAATTCAAAGTGTGTGTGTGTGTGTGTGTGTGTGTGTGTGTGTGTGTGTGTGTGTGTGTATGTAGATACATACACACACATATAATTGTGTATGTCTATATATACATATATATATATATATATATATATATATATATATATGTATGTATGTATATATGTATATACATAAGTTCATATGTGTGTGTGTGTGTGTGCATGTATGTATGCATGCATTTATCTAAGCTCGTGTGTGTGTATGTGTGTTCGTTTGTGTGTGTGTGCAGATAGACAGAGATAGACAAGTAGACAAATAGCTGCACATGGCCGTGCCTCGGGCAGCGATCCGACCGATCGCGGATTCCCGCCCGCTCGCCGCCGCGGCGTGAGGCAACGGCTGACGACACGGCGCCGGCAAGACGCGTTCGCGTAATCCGAATTCCGCAACGAAGGCCGTATGGCAAGTGGCGATTAAATGGCATGATGTCGCGGATTCATCTCTGTTCGCGCTGCTGGCTTTCCACTCGGTTTTGCGATGTAATTGCCGATAAGACAGATGTCCGAGCTGGGAAAACAAAGAGTGACGTCACACGAAACGGAAAGTGCGCGCGAATGTAGACATTTCATGATCGGGAAACTGAGAGTTGTTATGCTAGATGTACTGTTGAACAGTAATTGCTATGCTCTATGCTGGTTAACATCAAAACTTGGCTGGGATAGCGTTATCATCGATAAAAGGATAAAAATGATGAAATGTAAAGATCATTGTAAAAATGTTAAATATCTTAAGAATGCGTGTTGATTCACTGATCGTTCAGTCTCTCTCAAGACTGAGCCATTTGGCAATAGAGTTATGTGCATGGGGTATAACGCCGTGTCTGGAGATGAAAAATAAACCTGGCTGCAAAAAGGCCAGGCTTATCTGCACAGCATTTTTGCTCAATGTATACAATGTCTCCCATTGGAAGCTGAATAAAATTCTAACTCTTTTCTCTCTTCCTTTACAG